GCTCAGGCTGGTCTCGAACTCCTGAGCTCAAACAATCCGCCTGCCTCGGCCTCCCAGAGTGCTAGGATTACAGGCGTGAGCCACCGCGCCCGGCCACTAATTTAGTCTTTATCAAATACATGTCAGATGCAGACTTTAAGGACCCCATTAATAGATGAGGCTTACAGCTATTGTAACTTAGGTGTGTTCACTAGCTGATGTGTGTTGGACCTGGGAAGGTAAAGTCAGGCCTGATTCCAGAGGCCAGATGTAATCACCACGCTGTGCTGTCTTTCAAAATAGGTGAGATCTTGCCCTTCTGGAACACTCCGTCTAGTAGAGGAAATACACCATGAGTGGACTGCAATGAGGACATGTAGGCCATTTGGAGAGTAGCCATGAGAGCCCCTACCTGTATTCCAGGGGTTGTGTAAGGTCCTGGAGACCGATGAGTGAGTGGGAGCCAGAGAGGCATGGGGGAAAGAGTAGAAGAGAAGGAAGGAAACTCATGACTTGGACGTGAGTGATCACGAGGTTGGTTTGAGGAACTTAATATAGTTCGGAATGGCTGGAATTGAGAGGTGAGAGTGGGCCTGGAGAATGGTAAGTCTGGAGAGCTGGTGTTGGGGGATGAGTGTGGAGGTCTTGAGTCTGTGTCTCCAATTCCACACACAGTTGTCCTTCACTCCATCTCCCACATTGGTAAACTGTGGATATACTGTCTACACAGGGCTGTTGTGAAAATTGTTCAAAGTTGTAATGGACGTAAAACTACAGTATTACCCTGAGTACTTATCCAACATTAAAGGGGACAACTGAAATTTAGCTCAATTGTTTTTCATCCATGAGAAATATCTTTGTGTACAACTTTTATTGCCATCTACTTTTTTCTCCAGCCCTTAATGAATAAGTGGATTGTGTTCTTAGTTAAGTTCTGTTCATTAATTAGCCCAGCCAAACAATCTTAAGTCATGTTCTAACCCAGGCCTCAGTAATCTCATTTAAAAATGAGATCGTTGGACTTTACAGCCTTTTGAGTTCTAACATTGTATAATCTATTAAGCCTCCAGAGCCAGGTTCCCTGGTTCAAATCCTGGCTATCCCATATACTTGCTGTGTGATCTTGGACATGTTACTTAGCCTCTTTATACCTTAATTTCCTCATTTGTAAAGTTAGAATAATTATAGTATTTATCTCATAGGAGTATTATAAAAATTAAATATGTAAGGTGCTTAGAACTGCACTTGGTCCACCGTAGGCACTATTAAAAGGTGCTTTTTGTTTTTATGAACCAGTCAAGTCACATGACATCAATATGTATACCAAATACAAGCCAGGCTGCTGTGTCATCAGCAAGCCTGAAGTAGACCGTTAAAGTTGGAACTCCTTCAGTAGTACTCAGCAGAGAACAATCAGCCTGAAGACATTAATGCAGGAGGTAACAGGCTGGAGAGCAGCGAATTCCGGTGATGGCGCCCCTGAGAAAATAGCTTAAAAGGCACGAAGTCTGAAATAATAGAGAGCCACAGAGTAGGGGAGGGGGAAAGCTATTGGAGTCGAGCCTACTGGGGAAGCTGGGTTCTTTTCAGAATACAGTGCTGAGTGAGAAGGGCCACGGTCAGCCAAACAATCTTCACACACAGGGGCAGAAAATATAAACAAGCCACATGGAAAGGAACAACAGTGTGAAATGATCAGAAAAAATTCTCACAGGCACCTAGGAGCAGGTCGCAGAGAGCAAGAGACGCATGCATCAGGATGGCTGGATGAAGCACCTTGTCAGTGTGAGCAGGAGCCCCAGGAAGTCCACCCCCTCACCGTCCAGTTCCCGCCTGCCTTCCCCTGTGTGGTTGGTCCATTCTAGCACTATAGGGAAAGATGCCCCTCAGGTCCACATCATAAATGTCAGCACAGCGGTGTTGCCGTTTATTTACACTGACCTCTTCCAAACACCTCGGGGCTTAGCTTACATTGTTTAATATTCCTAACAAGCTGTGAAGGTAGATGTTATTGCTTCTGGATTACAGGTGAGGAAACTGAGATTTGCAGAGCTGATGTAACTTACTCAGAAAGGTCCTATAAGTGGCAGAGGGTGGATTCCAGCCCAGGACCATCTGACTGCAGTGCGCACACTGCCCTTTGTGCTACGTTACGCTCCCCTGGGTTTGCCCCAGGTCAACATCTGCATGAAAATATTCACATACCTGGCCACCAGGGAAGTCCTGGCAGGGCACCACACCTGGGTCCACAGGCACAGCCCACAGCCGAGGAAAACAAGCAGAAAAACCTAAAGCCTGGGTCTTTCTGAGCATGGGTCAGAGGCATCTTCTGTCCTGCCAGGGTAGCTGTCCAAACCAGCAGTGCTCACAGCACTTAGTCAGTCTCTCCCAAGACACCCATCTGAAAGCCACAGATGAGAGGAGAACGATGGCGCAGTAACCAGATGATTCACCACGAGGGCCTCAGCAGGAGTCTCTACCAGCCTCAAGGCTTGGTCCTGGGCTGAAACTGTATAGAAATTCATAGCTTTGGGAATAGGGTGTTTTGCTATTGATTTCTAATGTAGGTGCCTTCTAGTCAGAGAATTTGTTATTCACAGAGATGTGCTTTGTGGCTAAATAGGGAGAAAATATGCTTGAAAATAACATGTAATTAGATAACTGGGTACAGGGTTTCATGAATATTCAACAGATCTTTAATCATGTTATCAAAATCTTTTTTATATTTCCTTAGTAATTTTCAGTCTGATCAATAATTTTCTGAAAGTTTCCACTGTGCTTGTAGTTTCTTAAATTCTGTCAGTTTTTGTTTTGTGAGTTTTAAAGCTCTATTGTTAGATGCACATACAAGTTCAGGATTATTATATCTTCCTGAACAAGATGTGTGAATAAAATCTTCTAACAAGATTTTATTAGATGGTGGATGGTTCTGTCTTATTCATGTAAATACCATCTTTATTCCGAAAATTCGTTTTGGCTTTAGAATAACTTTTTTCTGTATGAATGTTATAATACCAGCTTCTTTTAGTTCGTATTAGTTCAGTATATATTTTTCTATCCCTTTATTTTCAAGCTGAGGTGTCATCAGGTTTAATGTATAGTTCATGGAAATAGCACATAGTTATATATGTATTTTAGAACTTACATTTTAAAATATAAGATTTTCTTATCTGAATTCATTCCAAGATCCTCTTTTAGCATATATTTGTCTTTCCTTCTTCCATCTTATTCTATCTTTTCCATATCATAATTTTCTTTGGGCCTTTGTTTCTCATTTTATGTCTTTTGTTTCCTTCCCTTCTCTCTTGCCCTCCATGTTGAGGAAAGTTACATCGGCTACTTCTCTTCTTTTAGCAGTGATCCTTATATTTTTAACATTGGCTTAATTTTTAAAAGCCTAAAGTTAATTCCCCCTTATTCTACAGAGTTTGGCTCTCTGCAGATTATGGTATAAATCAAAGGAATGCAGAAACTCTAGTTGCTGGGAGAATGTTAGAAGATTTTATCTTGTCCAATAAGCCAAGGGAATCAGGAAATGTTGTGTTCCAAGCTTGACACAGAGACAGAAATTTTCAGTCAACTGGCTTGTGCTTTTACAAGTCAAATATAGAATAATTTCCCTTGTTTTCTCCCGGCACTGTCTAGTTCCATAATTCTGTCAATTCATACATGTATAATTAAAGGGTAGAAGGCAAGATACTGGATTCCATCCTTGTCTTTATTCTTCGGTATTCCATATTTACGCCATTAGTAATAAGTCCAGCATTGCACTCATTCCATTTGAGGAAGGCCTGTGGCATGCTAAAGCAATAAGAATTATTTGAAACAACAACAACGACACAAAAGGACCAGGGGAAAAGACATTTGACAAATGTTTTTTCTTTTCCACTTTGGGGAAACTCATATTCCATTCATTTTTTTTTTTTTTTTTACTTTGAGGAACTTAGTAGGGATTGGAGAAGGATGTCCGATTCACAGGTAATGTGGTTTATTGTTTAATATCATGACTTAGTTTGATAATAAATACAGTTGAGTCTCTCAAATCCAAAAATATGAAATCTGAAATGCTCCAAAATCAGAAAATTTTTGAGCGCCAATATGATGCTTAAAGGAAATGCTGATTGGAGTATTTTGAATTTTTGGATTTGGGATGTTCAACCGATATAATGCAAAATATTCCAAAATCTGAAATACTTCCGGTCCTGAGCATTTTGTATAAGGGATATTCAATCTGTGTTAATCAACACTAAGTTCTCATCTCCCCAACTGGACACATGCAAATATTGTGTATATGTACATTGTTTATATATATTTATATTTTTATAGAGGAAATGACCATTCCTTTCATCAGATTCCTAAAAAAGTCACAAACTTAAGAAAGATTAAAACCCATCATTTACCACTGTTTTTCATATCCTAAAAACTAGCTGACTCCTAGCAAGTCCCTGCCCTCATCTTTTGAGGTGACTGAACCTCAAAGCTGAGTTGCTTCTGTAGAAAATGCGTGACCTCATTTTTGGTATTTGTTTTCTCTCTCTCCTTTAAAAGCTTCCTTCCTACCAGCTACTTTAACTATGACTGTGGACAGGGGAGATAATGTGAACATATCTTTCAAAAAGGTATTGATTAAAGAAGAAGATGCAGTGATTTACAAAAACGGTGAGTGTGTGTTTCATTTCCTTCCAGCACCGTGGTGTGAGACATCAGATAACACATAACATATTGGATCATTGTCCTATTGCAGTCTTGGGGGCAGATGTTTGAAGTAAAGCTGCTATGATGCAAGCTTACCAAATTCTGTGTATGATAGAAGCCCTCTTAGGTGAGATGTTTGGTTACTTAAGCAAATGAAAGTGGAACTCATATATATGTATGTGTGTGTGTGTGTGTGTGTGTGTGTGTGTGTGTCTATACACACATATATGATAAATATATACATTCATAGATATATGAATACACATACATGGTACATACAATAAAACCCCATGATAATGTGATAAGTGAGGTCCTAAATTCAGTCATGTAAAATGTGAAATTGTTTGATTATAAAATTAAGGAAATGACCACAGTAACCCTAGGAAGCCAATTGCCAGCAGTTCTGGAGGTCCAACTATATAATCCAAATCTGTCTAGTTCCTAGCTATGGTTTGCAGTTGCCTGATCCAGCTGGACTACTGATGGGGAACATTCTGAATTCTGTGGGTGGATAGGATTTCTAGGTTAGAGCAGTGATTCTAGCTATCTCCTGGTTAACTGCTAAGTTGACGGGATTACTTGACACTTCCCACCTAGCTTTGCCTGCCCCTCTATGTTCACCTCTCCTTGTAGAAGATAAGAATTTAGACTACCTCCGTCTTCATGTGTTTGGGAGCAGATCCTGCAGACTAACCTATCTGCTCTATCACTGTGCCTTTCTTCACGATTGGGAGAGCATTGAATAATAGTTCCACCTTTTCATTCTTCTCCTGCATCCAGTATGTGAGAGCACATTTTCTTTATTAGGTCAGGGAAAGCTGATTAAGTGAAGAGACCAGACGGGGAAAAAGGAGTGTTTGTGTGTGACCTATTGTTCTCCACTTTTCTCGATTAATAGGGTCCTTCATCCATTCAGTGCCCCGCCACGAAGTCCCAGATATATTAGAAGTGCACCTGCCTCACGCTCAGCCCCAGGATGCCGGCGTGTACTCGGCCAGGTACATAGGAGGAAACCTCTTCACCTCGGCCTTCACCAGGCTGATAGTCCGGAGTAAGTGATTGAGGGGCCACCATCTCTGATGGTGTAGTTAGGATTTTTAGTACAAGTAACATAAATTGACCCTGGGTTCTTAAGCAAAAAACCAGAGATTGGTTGGAAGGATACTAAGGACTTTTAAGAAATTGATGGGAAGCTGACAAGCAAGTTCCAGAAAAGACAAGCTCCAGGGAAGATCTGGGTCTGAGCGATGGGAGGTGGGTGGCAGGGGGAGGGGAGTGGACTTTCCCTCTAGGCTGCTTCCATTACCATAACTCAGCTTCAACAATGTTTCTTTTACTTCCAAATTTTGAATTCTTGGGATAAAGAATCAGATTGGCCTAACCTATGTCAGAAGTCCACCAACCTAGACCAATGAGCTTGGTGGATCTTTCCAGATCATTTAACTCTCAAAGATGATTTTTATTTTCAGGTTTGAAAAATGTAGGCGTTTGAACTAGTGAAAACTTTTATTTTTCCCATTATAAGTATTGAAGTGGTGAGTAACTATCACCATTACATTTTCCCGTAATTTTTTACAGGAAATTGATGTATAAAAAGCCAAAGATTTGTCCCGAATTTTCCCCAGCTATGTTAAGTATTCGTGATATTAAATATTGAGGTGTTTAGGCCTAAATACCTGGGCTGCTTTGTCATTCCTGTAATGATTGGCATCTCTAATTCATAAAGATTATTGATTTTGCTTTGCATTATATTCATTCATTCATTCAACAAAATGTCTTTATCATAACTCTGTGCCAAGAATTGTGCTGGTGTTGAGAATACAGGCTCATAAGATAAATCCTTGTCCCTTGGGTAATTCCCAATCAGGGCAGGGACATGTATAATTAGATAAATAGATATTGAAATTCGACAACAGAAGTATGAAAAGTGTCATTCATCTAGTTTATGCCCCATGCTAAGCCACCTCTATGAGTGTAAAATATAGCAAGGTATTTTATAGGCAGGACTATTTGAGCTTGAGTCAAGAGGAATCTGCCTATATACCCATGATTTGTTTCCTCCTAGATGACTACTGTGCTTGACTTTTCTTCTATTAAATGTTAGAGCAGCCTTTTTATAAGACCAGTCTTTAGAAAAATATAACTTATGATGACAGCAGAACTACAGTTTTCAGCTTCCAATAGTTTGCTTTACAATTACTTCTATGTGAAGTTTCTGTTGACTTGGGAAAAGCAAGTAACATTCCCTTTTATTCCACTACACAGGAAAGTCCAAATGGCAAGGAAGCAATTTGCATTTATTTCATTTAGATAGTTTCTCTATAATCTGATACAACACCAGGTACCAGGCATATACAGAGGATAAAAGGGGGGTACATTTCCTAGGAATATCAGAAACATCAGATGTTGATACATGGTTGTTTGAGATGGGAAAACCAGAGTGTTTTTCCTAATCTCCATTCTCATGAACATAACACATCTGACACCAGATGTGTGTGTGGGGGGGTTTTCTTACACACCAAGCAAGTCTCCAGCAGTCATCAGCCGTGTTTCCTACAATTTAACTCAATTCTGACTCTATCTACCTGGTGTCAGATCCTGCAGGTTAAGTACTCAGTCGCATAAGACTGCCTTCAATTCAGATGTCAGTTGCAAGGCCCCAAGCTGTGACCTGTGCTTCTAACAAACCGCTATAAATTGGGGGTTCTCAAGACTCCCTCCCTAGGTTGGATTAATTTGTTAGGATGGCTCACAGAACTCAGGGCAACACACTTACTGGTTTAGTATAGAGAATATACAAAGGATATAGATGAAACAGCCAGATGGAAATATGCACAGAGCAAGGTGTGAGAAGGAAGTACGGAGCTTCCATGCCCTCTCCAGGCGCATCATCCTCCAGGAACCTCCATGTGTTCGGTGATCCAGAAGCTCTCTGAATCCTGTCCTTCTGGGTTTTTATAAAGGCTTCATTAGGTAGGCATGATTGATTAAATCATTAACTCAACCTTCAGCCCTTAGTCCCTCCCTAGAAATTAGGGGTTTGGGCTGGATGTCCCAATCATGCCTTGGTCTTTCTGGTGACCAGCCCCCATCATGAAGCTATCTAAGGATCTCCATCCACCAGTCATCTCATTAGCATACAAAAGGCTCTCTTTTTTTTTTTATTTGAGACAGAGTCTCACTCTGTTGCTCTGAGTAGAGTGCCATGGCTCACAGCAACCTCAAACTCCTGGGCTCAAATGAGCCTCCTGCCTCAGCCTCCTAAGTAGCTGGGACTACAAGCATACACCACGATGCCAAGCTAATTTTTTAAATATTTTTGGTAGAGATGGGGTCTCATTCTTGCTCAGGCTGGTCTTGAACTCCTGAGCTCAAGCTATCCTCCCGCCTTGACCTCCCAGAGTGCTAGGATTGCAGGCACGAGCCACCGCACCCAGCCAAGGCCCTCTTATTTCTCTAGAGATTCCAAGGGTTTTTAGTATCTGTGTTCCAGGAACCGGCAGAGACCAAACATATACTTCTTATTATATCATATTGTCACAGTGGTAAAAGGCTTAAAGCTTTTAGAAATTTTTTAAATGTTAAAACAAGCATGACTTAGCATAGTATAGAATTTGAAATTCATCTGAACTTTCAAGATAAAGCAAAAAATTTTAAACACATTTTGATTTCCAAGTTGTCTCTTTTGAGATTGGTAGGAGTACATGTTCATTCCCTCGTGTTAGGAGTGTTTTAATGAAACAGTATGAGAAGCACTCCTAATATCTAAAATCATTCTAAGAAAATTCGAGTTGGGCTACAGTCAATTCCATTTAAGAAAACTTTTCCCCAGTAGGAGTTCTTTGATGTTTAGTAAAAAATGATGTACAATTAAAGGCATTTGTCCATTTCTCAAAGCTATGGGGTATTTCTCCAGGATAAATTGAAGCCTAGAAATAGTGCTTAAAGATTTTGTATTAAAAATCATAATGATTATATTTGTAGGATTTTTTTCTGTATAAATTCAATTCCTGACCAGATTTCTCACAATATAGAATTTTTCTCTGTATGCTGTGAATATCTGATTTCTTAAAATACAGAGTCAAAAGGCTTTCAAGAAAATAGATGTCTAATTGCATACTTGTTGCTTATCAACAAACTCTTTTCCTGACTTCTCTAATCCCCAAGAGATAATCCCTGTTATTCTCTAGAGCTGTATCCTTTTCTCCTTCCCAGGATTAGGTGTGAAGGTTGGGATAGGTCTACAGGTAGGTACAGGACTAGAGAACATAGTTTAATGTAGCAGGGAACTCATTTTCATTGACATTGTCTGCCATCATTAGTTTCCAACATGTGCAAATAACCTGTGGTCTCTTAAGACATCACTAATTGTTCGTAGCCTCTTTCCCTTTACATATTGAGGATTATATTAATATTTGCTTTTAGATATTTTGTACCTTTATCTACTAAGTGGAAGACTGTAAGAAATGGTCTGTGTTGACAGTCTTCCTGATTGTTGTAGAGAAAATACTGATAACCAGGAGTTCCTGGAAAGAAATTATCAGGTTACATCAGCTGTAGGCACAGGTCCAAGCTTACCACTGTGAGACTAACAGGGCAGAGACACTAGTTCTCTTCAGATGAGAAATGAAACTAAATTCCTGATCACAAAGGATCATCCAATCCCCTTGGGTTTTCCTCATATTAGAAGGTATCTTTTAATCTAATTAACAATCTAAAATCACCAAGGGTTGGAGAGAAGTAGCCAGGAAATCTGATTCTAGAAGGATTTTACCATCCTTATATGTTAGGTTTTGCCTGTCTTGTTTCACTCCATTTTTATCAGCTGAAAAATAGGTGGATGCTGCTAGTTCCTATTTCCCTTTTAGCCTTATCCCTTCTCCACATTCTCTAGGCCAGAGGTTCTCAAACTCTAGCATGTACCAGAATCACCTGGAGGGCTAGGTAAGCACAGATTACTAGGCTACCTCCAGTGTTTCTTATTCAGTATGTTGTGGGTAGGGGGTCTGAGGTTTGCATTTCTAAGAGATTCCCACTGTGGAAACTACAACTCCAGTGTCTAAGCGTACCTACAGGTCCCTGAACATGCTGTGTTCCTTCCCATGCCTTGTCTTTGCCTGGAACACACTCTCCAGCCTTATCTTCTTTGCTACTTAGGTGGCCTCGCAAATTCAGCTCACATACCACCCCCTCTGGGAAGCCTTCCTTTATGCCCTCTTCCATGCCCAAGACAGCATTAGTACTCCTCGTCTTTGTTTCTAGCATCATCTCCTGTTTACATTTCTGTCTCTATTACCTTTTAGAGAAGAGAGACTATATTCTGTGCTCAGTTACCAGTGTCCACTAAAATGATTGACACGTATGTTGACCCAAAATAAGCGACCAAGGCAAAGGATCTCAATCATCAGAGGTTTGTTAAGCCAAAATTGAAGACACACTCAGGAAAAACACAAACCACAGACAAACCTGTGGCTGTTTTTCTGAAGGAGAATTTGGAAGTTTCAGCATTTAAAGGCATACAGAAAGAAAGAAACGTGTGTGGGGTAGTGAGAGAAAATGGTTACATTCCTGTGAGACCCAGGAAAACCTACATTTTATATAAGATAAGGCAAATGTTAGAGGAGAAGGGAGTGAAGGAAACATCAATGATATAGATGTTCCTGGGTAGGTGGAAGAATGTCTGATCCTGTCTTGTCACTGTTCTGTTCTTGTGAAGATAAACTTGTAATTCATTATTAGTGTGGAATAGGAACAGACTTCAGTTTTAGGAGCTAGACTTAGCCTGCAGACCTAAAGTTACAATTTGCATGTCCTCGCTATGGGAGGCCAGCAAGGAATTTCCTTAATGAATGATCTGTGAGGCCCGATCTTCACAGGTGCCTGAGGCCTTTACCTCCCCTTTTGCATAAGGAGTTGAGGTGGAGGTGGTCCTGAGATTGTTATTTTCTTTTTACACATAGTAGGTGCTCAATAAAGGTTTGTTGAGTGAATGTGCTCTACTCATTACAGTCTTGTTTTCCTTAACAAAAGGATGTGAAGCTCAAAAGTGGGGACCTGAATGTAACCATCTCTGTACTGCTTGTGTGAATAATGGTGTCTGCCATGAAGATACTGGAGAATGCATTTGTCCCCCTGGGTTTATGGGGAAGACATGTGAGAAGGGTAAGTCCAGAATTCTTGATAAGTAAGTTGTGGATTTAAAAAGCCATTGCTGCTGGATCTAGAATTTTAGATCTGGACACAGATGGTAATAGAAGCTAAATGGCCTCCATTAGACCATATGATACCTTTGTGTGAATTAGAAAAAGGTGCCCTTTCCTTAAGGTTCTTTATTGCCAACCACTGGAAAGTTATAATAAGTATACAAATCTATGATGTCTGCAATGTGAATGTCACCCCTAGATTTGTGCAGTGTACAACCTGTATAACTGTGGGTGGTGACCCTGATGGTGGTGGTGGTAGTGGTGGTGGCTCTGTGGGGCAGTTTCATTATCTGTAAAATGGGCCATAAGTGCGTGTTCATCCTGCCCATGCCACAGCTGAGGTCATACTATTTTCCACGTTCTCTAGTCTAGTAGAGACTAAGCCAAAGAAGAATTTAAGCAGCATTTCAAGGGGTTGCATATTTGACTCTGAATTAGCTTTTCTTTTTTTCCTCCCAAAGCTTGTGAACTGCACACGTTTGGTAGAACTTGTAAAGAAAGGTGTAGTGGACCAGAGGGATGCAAGTCCTACGTGTTCTGTCTCCCAGACCCCTATGGGTGTTCCTGTGCCACAGGCTGGAAGGGTTTGCAGTGCAATGAAGGTATGCACCAATCACACCCTTGAACAGAAAAAGTTCTAGCAGGTGTATAAAGGAGATCCAGGTTGCTAGAAATCACAATGTAGGATATAGCTGGACTGCTTAATCAACTACCCACTGATGGGCTACAGGGTTTTGAATCATAGATGTTTTTGTCCAAAGTTAATTATACTTTCACAGTAAGACTGTGGACCTCATAGAAAGTACTTTTCATACATATCACCTGGGGATCTGATTAAAACATAGATTCTAATTTGCTGGATCTGGACTGGGGCCTGAAGTTCTGCATTTCTAACAAGCTTCAGGTGGTTCCAATACTGTTGGTTTTCAAACTGCCGTTTGTATAGGAAGATCATAGAATTTTTTGTTTTTTTTTCAGTGGGCCATAAAAATCAGAGCTTCTAGGTCAGATCCAGATGGAATTTGTGGTTTAAAAATAGAAGTTAAGATCTTATCTGCTGTGGACTTTACTCAAGCGGTACTAACTTCACCTACTCAGAGTCCCTCTGTCCTTTCTGAAATACACTTTCCTGTTTGACAGACTCAGTGGTGTGCGTTTGACATCTACATTCCGGCATGTGTTTCACTTCTCTGTCGCACAGTAGCTGAACATGAACCTGCAGCCGAACATGCAGACTCTCCCTAATGAATGTTAATGTGGCGAATTAGCCAGAACTCAAAGGCTTTCCAGTGTTTACCTCACAAGGTAAACATATATGGCACTAATGAGAGCTATGATGGAGTTCCCAGCAACTTGGTATCAATGCTCCAGGGCAGAGCAGTTCAGTGGAAATATAAGCCATCTGCATACAGAATTTAAAATTTTCTAGTAGCCACATAAATGAAAAAAAAAACCAATAGGTTAAATAATTTTAATCATTCAGAGCTCTGTGCCAAGAGGAAAGGTCCAGTGTCTACTAGAATAAATAGTGCACAACCTTTCCATCACCGGTTCTGAGTAAAAAGTAAAGGTAGTTGAGACTTTTAAAAAAATTTCCCCAGGTTTATTGAGATGTAATTGAGAAATAAAATTTGTACATATTTAGGTGTATGATGTGATGTTTTGATATACATTGTAAAATGATTACCCCTGTCAAGCTAATTAACATATCCATCCTGTCACAGTTATCTTTTTTTGCAGTGACAACATTTAAGATCTACTTCTTTAGCAAGTTTCAAGTATATAATATAGTTTTATTAACTGTAGTCACCATGCTGTATATTAGATCTCCAGAATTTATCCTGCATGACTGAAACTTTGTACCCTTTGACCAACATCTCCCCATTTCCTCCACCCCGCAGTCCATGGAAACCACTATTCTATCTGCTTCTGTGAATTCAACTTTTGTAGATTTCACATATAAGAGAGATCGTGCAGTATCCATCTTTCTGTGCCTGGCTTATTTCAGTTAGCATAATGTTCTCCAGGTTTATCCATGTCGTTGTAAATGACAGGATTTTCTTCTTTTTTAAGGCCGAATAATATTCTAGTGTGTGTATCAAATTTTCCTTATCCATTCATCCGTTGATTGACACTTAGGTTGATTCCATATCATCGCTATTGTGAATAGTGCTGCAATAAACATGGGAGTGCAAATATCTCTTTGAAATACTGATTTCATTTCCTTTGTATATATACTGAGAAGTGGGATTGCTGGATCATGTGGTTCTATTTTTAATTTTTTTGAGGAACTCCATAGTATTTTCCATAATGACTGTACCAATTTACATTCCCACCAGGGAAGGTTTCCTTTTCTGTACGTCCTTGCCATTATAACAGGTATGAGGTGATAATATTATTGTGGTTTGATTTGCATTTCCCTGATAATTAGTGATGTTGAATATTTTTCATATACTTTTTGGTCATTTGCTTGTCTTCTTCTGAGAAATATCTATTCAGGTCCTTTGCCCATTTTTGAATCAGGTGATTTTCTTGCTATTGAGTTGTTTGAGTTCCTTATATATATATTATATAGTAATCCCTTATCAGATGTATGGTTTGCAAATATATTATCCCATTTTGTACATTATCTCTTCACTCTCTTGATTGTTTTCTTGCTGCAGAGAAGCTTTTTAGTTTGACACAATACCACTTATCTATTTTTGCTTTTGTTGCCTGTGCTTTTGGGGTGGTATCCAAAAAGCCATTGCTCAGACCAGTGTCAAGAAGCTTTTCCCCTATTCTAGTAGTTTTACAGTTTCAGATCTTATGTTTATGTCTTTAATCCATTTTGAGTTGATTTTTGTATATAGTATGAGATGAGGGTCTAATTTCATTATTCTGCTTTTGGTTATCCAGTTTTCCTACACCATTTATTGGAGAGAGTATCCTTTCCTCATTGTGTGTTCTTGGCACTTTTGTTGAATCAACTGACCGTAAAATTTGTGGATTTATTTCTGGGCTCTTTATTCTGGTGCATTGGTCTGTATGTCTGTTTTTATACCAGTACCATACTGTTTTGTTACCATAGATTTGTCATATATTTTGAAATCAGGTAGTATGATGTCTTTAGCTTTGTTCTTCTTGTTCAATATTGCTTTGGCTATTCTGGGTCTTTTGTGTTTCCTTATGAATTTTAGGATTTTTTTTTCAATTTCTGTAAAAATGTTATCACAATTTTGATAGGGATTGCGCTGAATCTGTAGATTGCTTATTTGTGATTGATACAAAAGTAAAGACTACATCTTGTCATTTTTGTTATTGAAACAAACCATCAGAGCCCCAAAGAGCAAGCATCTATAGCAGTTTGGTTGAAAGTCTTCTAGTGATGTTACAGTTGGCCACAATAAGGACAGCCAGCCAACAGAATCCATTCATCATCCACCAAATTCTAAGAACTGTCCTAGGAGGTTCAGTGAGTGCCAGAGGGAAAATAGTGGTTAGTGGTTTTACCCTGTCCTCACAAGAGCTCATTTAAGGAAAGAAGCACAGTTTGCACATTGAGTGGCTGAAATACTCTTCTGTACAGTAAAAATTGAAAACAGGCTTAAAGAGACTAATGCTTTAAATTCTCTTGATATTTTAGTTTTCAGCAGTTTGACCATAATGTGCCTAGGTATAGTTTTCTTTACATTTGTTTTCCTTGGAATTTAACAAAGTATAGAGTAAATTTCAACAAATGGGGAAATTTAAATCATGATTTCTTCAAATATTTTTTCTATCCCTATCTCTCTGTTCCTTCTTGGACCTCCAATTACATGTGTTAGACCTTTTGATATTGTCCCATAGGTCCCTGAGGCCCTCATCATTTTTTTCTAACTTTTTCCCTATCTTTGTTCTTCTGATTAGATATTTGTTGGTCTAGCTTCAAGTTCATACACTTTTTTGTCATCTCCATTCTTTTGCCAAGGCTCTACAGTGATATTTTTATTTCAGACATTGCATTTTTCGATTCTAGAATTTATTTTTGGTTATTTTTTATAGCTTCTATTTCTATACTGAAATTTCTTATTGTTTCATGTGTTGTGAGCGTATTTTACTTCACTGAGTGTAGTTATCATAGTTGCTTTAAAATTCTTGTCTATTTCTAACATCTGGGTGGTCATGATCGATCTCTGTTGAGTTTCTTTTCTCTCAAGAATAGGTTATAGCTCTCTATTTCTTCTAATGTTGAGTAATCTGGAATTATATCTTGGATATTGTGACTGTTACATTGTGGAAACTCTGGGGTATGATACGGTCTTTTGAGGATGTTGATTTTGTTTTGTTTTATTTTATAATAGCAGGCAATTAACTTGGTAGGACTCAAACTGAAAACTCTTGGGCATCAGGTCAAACTCAGTTTAGTTCTTTTATCTTTAGCTGGGCTGCTTTGAGTCTGCACCAAGCATGCATGGTTCAAGGATCAGCCAAAGGTTTGGGACTTCTCTTTGATACTCCCTTTCTGGTTTTCCCCCTCACTTTCCAGTGGCTGTGGTTGCCCTGTCTCTGTCCACAGATTCATCAGGCCAGCAAGATTGCAGGTTTTCTTTGGAGTTTTAGCCTCCTCACATCATGTTAACTGTGCCCAACAATTAGGTTAAAAGCTATCTTCCAAATTTCAATTTCCTTCCAGAACCGGCTTTGTTTTGGTTTTCCCCACTCCACTCTTTTGTGCTTTCAGGTAGTTGTTTTCTGAATGTAGTTGTATCCATGAGAAGGCTGGTCTGGTAGAAGCTTATTCATCTCTAGTGGAGGCAGAACTCCCAACCCTTTAAGTTCCTGGTAATTCAGATAAATCAACCCTACCTTATATGAATCAGCAAGGTTGATAGATCAGAGAGAAAAATAAAACTAGCCTTCTACAGCCTTAATTTTCCCCATTCCCCTGTATTAACTCTGGTTTTGCTGTCTTTGTTTACAGCATGCCTCCCTGGTTATTATGGGCCAGATTGTAAACTTAGGTGCAGCTGCACAAATGGGGAGATGTGTGACCGGTTCCAAGGATGCCTCTGCTCTCCAGGACGACAAGGGCTCCAATGTGAGAAAGAAGGTAAAGCAAGGTAACACTGTAGTCAGGGCCACGTTCAGCGTGTTTGAGCCAAGCTTTGCTGGTGTAATTCTTGCCCCAACATCCCAAGATCCTGAAGCCTCTTCTGTTTTCATCTAGAAGTTGGGAGAAATTTATTCCAAATCCTAAGGACAGCATTCTAATCCTTCTCTATGGACACTCATAGTAGTCTTCATTTCTCATTCCACTAGGAATAAACCATGTGATCTCTGTGGCACATTAAGTAAAGATTAGCCAGCTGAGAGCTCTACCGACCTCTTCTGCATCCTTTTCTGGGACCAGTCTTTTCTCTGGATATGCATAACAGGGAAAGAGCTGCTTCGGAGAGATTTGGACAAAGGGTATTTTTACAAAGAGATAGAAAGAATGAAACAAATAGAAAAGGTTACACTTAAAATGAAATTTTAAATAATTCTAGTTCAGAAATCATCCTAGATCAGGAGGTGGCAAAGTTTGACCCACAGACCAAATATAGCCCACTCTCTTTATTGAGAATAATTTTATACCGTAATGTTTACCCCTTTAAATGTATAATTGTATAAATATATAATGGTTTTTAGTATATTTACAGAGTTGTGCAATCATTGCCATAATCTAATTTTAGAACATTTTTATTATGTGAAAATAAACCTAGTTCCCATTAGCAGTAACTCCCATTCTCCCCTCCCTCCAGTCTCTGGTAACCATTAGTTTACAGTTGACCCTTGAACAATGCAAAGCTTAGGGAAGCCAACCCTCCTCGGAGTCAAAAATCTGCATATAACTTTTGAATCCCCCTCAAAACTTAACTGCTAATAGCCTACTGTTGACTGGAAGCCTTACTGATAACATAAATAGTTGATCAACACATAAATAGACTAGTATCTCTGTATATTATATACATTCATGAAATACCTTTTTCTTAATTTTTTTGATATTTTTAGGCTACTACACAGTTTGTGAGTTGTTTCAAATTGTTGCAAATCTCCAAAAAATTTTCCAATACATTATTGAAAAAAAACCTGTGTATAAATGGATCCATGCAGTTCAAACCCATGTTGTTTGAGGGTCAACTATATTTTCTCTCCATAGATTTGCCTATTCTTGACATTTTCTTTTCTCTGTCTTTTCTTTTCCTCCCTCCCTCCCTCCTTCCTTCCTTCCTTTTCTTTTTTTTCTTTTTTATTTTTAGAGACAGAGTCCTGCTCTGTCACCCAGGCTGGAATGTAGTGGCACAATCACAGCTCACTGCGACCTTGAACTCCTGGGCTCAAGCAATCCTCCTGCTTCAGCCTCCTGAGTAGCTGGGACTATAGGCGTGTGCCACCATGCCTTGCTAATTTTTTTATTTTTTGTAGAAACAAGATCTCGTTATGTTGCCCAGGCTGGTCTCGAACTTCTGTGCTCAAGGTGATCAGCCTTATGGTGAAGAATGTGGACTCTGGATTCATAAAAAGTCCAGTGAGCCTGAATCTGGGCTCTGAGCCTCAGTCTCATCTATAAAATGGAGACCACAATAGCACCCACCTCACAAGTTTATTATGCATGATAAAACAATAAAATACTTGCAAAGTTCTTGCCCAGTGCATGACTTGCTACAGTAGTTATTTTTATTACTACTATTGCTGCTGTGTTAAGGATTCTATTTCACAATTCTGTTTTCTTCATTCAGGCATGCCAAGGATGACCCCAAAGATAGAGGATTTGCCAGATCACATAGAAGTAAACAGTGGCAAATTTAACCCCATCTGCAAAGCCTCCGGCCGGCCACTACCTACTAATGAAGAAATGACCCTGGTGAAGCCAGATGGGACAGTGCTCCATGTAAGAGCCATTCTTAATCTGCCTACCTGACACCATAAAATGTTTTCAGTGCAGTAATCACACCCTCGTAAAGGCTCCACTCCAGGCTTGCTTCCTCCTAGGCCAGCGTGCTGTTAGCTTTGATAAAATGCCCTGTTCCTGGGGAGGCAGAGCAGACTCACTGCAGTCCTTTGCTGGCCAGTGCCACAGTACAAGGTTGGGAATGTGCCCATGGTGGAATTGATGGAGATGAGCGCCAAGGACGACACTCATCCTGCAGAACTGTCCAGCTGGGTGTGGGGAGAAGTACATGTCTGCCTGTGTAAGGCTCTGCCCTCACAATAGCCCCATGTCTCTAACTCTTCATATCAGAAACAGTAATGTGGCCCTGTGGCCCCAAAGGGGTGTTGCAACCCATGAATCAGCAGGAGATTTAGGTGCTACCAGGTACTACCAGGACATGGAGTTCTGATGATTGGTCTCCTCCTACCATGCTCTTTGGAGCAGCAACTTGGAGAGTACAGAAGAGGGAGTTCAGCATGATCTATCTGACTCTACATAGACAGGTCTTGAATCTGCTCCCAACATTTTCAATTCAGAAACTATGATCTGTGGAATCCCTTAGTTCTGCGTGCATTCCTGGGGTTTCCCCTGCACCTTCACTTTGCCCTCATTACTGGTGCTCACCATTGGTGAGGGCGCTATCACAGCAGTTCTTTTTTGCTAGAAAAAACTGAGCACCTTTCTAACATGCTTTGCTTCTTTCTCTTAACTATCCCAAATGCAGCAGACATGGGAGCCACCCAGAATTTCTGTATGTTACAAGTGATCCCCAGGAAATTGATGTATTTTTATATCTAAAGATTTTAAAACAGATTTTATTTTTTTCTCAAAGATGACTAAAAATCAACTTGTCCAGAAGGCAGGTATGAGTGACCTTCTGGGGGCAGGATACACAGAATGTGCCATTACCAGTGTCCACATATCAAATGTTCCTCATTCCACTCAACCCATCAGGTAGAAGAAGCCAATTGACAGCTTCCAAAATCTTGTTGGCTTTTTCATGAGTTAATGGAAATGCTACCATTTAGTAAGGACCCACTATACTATACGTAACTTCTTAATTAACATTACCTGTCCCCTTTTTGGCAGAAGTAGAAACTGGCTGAGGGAAGTTAAGTAACTAAGGAATTGGTCAAAAGTGGCAGAGGTCAATATGGACTTTGACTTTTCCTGCTATACCACACTTAATAGCACACTTAGGAAGCCACCCAGCCATCTCGGTATTAGGCTGGAAAGGAACACATCTTACCAACAGCAGTGTAAAAGAAACTAGACTCCTTGCTTGTAAGTGTTTACTCCACACTCCCAAATACACAAATACAACAGCAGGATCTGACAGGGCATCAATCCAATATAAACTTTCAGGGCTACTACAATAGCTTTGGAAATAAGCCAATACTCATATTAGCATTGCTTTTAGCTTCTTGATCTCTCCTAGAAAACTTCTTATTAAACAATGAGATGGGGTCATTGTTCTGGACCTTTTTGTTTATACCTCCCTAGAAGTTTTTATTTTTTTGTATTTGACCTTTCCAGCCAAAAGACTTTAACCATACGGATCCTTTCTCAGTAGCCATATTCACCATCCACCAGATCCTACCCCCTGACTCAGGAGTTTGGGTCTGCAGTGTGAACACAGTGGCTGGGATGGTGGAAAAGCCTTTCAACATTTCTGTTAAAGGTAAGTTTCATTTTCCAGAGGAACAGCTTGTATCCTTGGTGTACTGTGTTTCTGTATTGCTAAGAAAAGTTGCTGTGTCTAGACAGAAACTCTTTCTGACCACTAAAGTATTTTCCAGGATACTAAGCCTAGCCAATTCTACTCTTAGGTATATGCTTAATAGAATGAGTATATATGTTCAAAAAAGACATCTTTAAGAATATTCAGAGGTTTTATTCCTAATAGCCCCAAACTGAAATTAACCCAAAGGCCCATCAACATTAGAAGAGATAAATGAATTGTGGTATAATTTATATGTGTTAGTTTGCTAGGGCTACTATAATAAAGTACTATAGGATGAGTGGCTTAAATAACAGAAATTTATCTTCTCACAATTCTGGAGGCTAGAAGTCCAGGATCAAGGTGTCAACAGAGTTGTTTTCTTTTTTTCTTAATTACTTTTTAAAATGAATTAATATTTTTAGAAACAGGGTTTCACTCTGTCACCCAGGCTGAAGCACAGTGGCCTGATCATAACTCAGTGTAACCACAAACTCCTGGGTTTAAGTGATTCTCCCACCTGAGCCTCCTGAGTAGCTGGGACTACAGGTGTGTGCCACCATGCCCGGCTAATTTTTTAATTTTTTTGTAGAGACAGAGGCTCGCTGTATTGCCCAGACTGGTCTCCAACTCCTGGCCTCACGCCATCCTCCCTCTTCTGCCTCCCAAAATGCTGGGATTACAGGCATGAGCCACCACACCCTGCCCCAGAGTTGAATTCTTCTGAGGTCTCTCTCCTTGGCTGCGAATGGCTGTCTTCTCCCTATAGTTCTCACAGGGTTTTCCCTTTGTTCCTGTGTCCTGATTTAATCTTCTTACAAGGATACCAGTCATACTGGATTATGGCCCACCCCGATGAACTCATTTTAACTTAATTACCTCTTTAAAGGCCCTATCTCCAAATACAGTTACATTTTGAGGTACTGATGGTTAAGACTTCAACATATGAATTTTGGGAGGAACACAATTCAGCCCATAAAGTCATGCAGAGGAAAATTAAATAGCATTAAAAGAGAATTCCTGCACTGATCTGGTTGAATCTTGCAGACATGATAATGAATGGAAGTATATGCTTTATGATTCCATTTATATAAAGTTAAAGAACAGGCAACACTGATCCTCAGAGACAGAAGTCAGGATAGTAGTTACCTCTGGGTAAAGGATGTTGACTGGGAAAGGGCACAGGGGTGCCTTCTGGGGGGCTGGAAATGTTCTCTGTCATAATCTGGTCGTGGTTACAAGGGTGTATACATAGCTAAAGTCCCTCGAGCTAAATACACTTAAGATTTTTGCGCTTTACATTATGTATTTTAAATCTCAATAACAATATTGTGATTTAACAAATAACAAAATCTCAATAACAATGATTAGAAAAAATGATGGGTTACTAAGAGGAAGGTTTGGGAGCAATTATTTCCACCCTTGTAAAAGTATCACAGACTAGCATGAATGGCTGTAAGAAAACGTGCACTTGCTGGTTTAAACAAAGTGGGGGTCTTGTTTGATCATACAAGGGAATCATGACGTGATGAATGAATTTACTCACAACAGTGCCCTCTTTTCTCACCTAAATAAAATGTGTATCCAGTCTTACCTAACTTAGTACTGGCATGGTCAGCCTCCAGGCAGGGGATACTGCTTGATTAGGCTCCTTACTGGCTTTGTTATTCTGTCTTTGGATAACTTCCTAAATCTTTATTCAGTCAGTCAATAGAATGTACTGAAGGCCGATTATGTTTCAGCTCCTGTTCTAGGCACTGGAAATAGAGCAGTGAATAGTATGGGGGAGGAAAAAAACTTATCATGGAGCTTACATTCCCACAGGGAGATAAGCAATGAGCAAATAAATAAGTAAAATGTATAGTTTGCTACAATGCTGAGTGCCAGAGAGAACACTAAAGTGGACATGAGGGTAGACAGTGCCGGGGCAGGGCCGAAGGGTGACTATAACTTTAAATAGGGTAGTCAAGGCTTCCTGAGAAAATGATATTTGAGCAAAGTCTTGAAGATCATTTCTAAGGAAGGTGAGTCAAAGCATCAAGACAGAGAAGAAAAGTAAAATTACTGAATATTGCAATGTACCCCGAAATCTGAAACATTCCACATTCTGTAACACACACTCTTGGGCAGGAAAAACAAAACCAGTCATGCACTTCCAAGTAGGTTGGGCTAATGGAGCTATGGAGCTCACTGGAAATTCAGTTGACTAACATTCGACACCTGGTAGGTGCAGGTGAACAAACCTACATGGACTTTGTCCTGATGTAGTTTTGAGTGTAGTGCTGTGTTTTACAAACTTTTTAATATTAGCATCCCATTAAGGAGGTCTTTTAAAAATTTTATTCCAAAACTCCCTCCTATCACCATAAATTTTAATATCACAGTTGTACTGTATTTCTGTTTATGTACTGTGGCTCTTTGGAGGCCTGCAAGCCATTGTAATATCTAAAAGTTTTTCATCCTCCAAGAACCAATTTTCACCTCCTTGGAGATGCTGTCACCACCATTGAGAATACATGGTTTTTGAGATGGGGAGATTTTTCTAGATTATCTGAATGAGTATACTGTAATTACATCAGTCATTAAAAAAAAAAAAAGGGCAGAGAACCATTCCTGATAACAGTCAGAAAGAGATGTCATGGTAAAAGAAGATCTGAGACCTGATGTTGTTGGCTTTGAAAGTGGAGGAAGGAGCTTTGAGCCAAGGAATGCAGGTGGTCTTTGGAAGCTGGCAGGAGCAAGGAAACAGATTCTCCACTAAGCCTCCAGAAAGGGACACAACCTTGCTACGTCTTAATTTTAGTACAGCGAGACCCATGTCTGACTTCTGACCTCCAGAACTATAAAACAATAAATTTGTGTTGTTTTAGACTGAGACATGAATACGAATATGAATATATGGTCTAGTGGGAAGACCAATATTAAATAATCGCTCAAACTTACAAACAATAACAAATGCTGAAAATGACAACAAAGGAAAAGTAGAGGTTCTATGAAAGCATGTGGCACTCCTAACTGAGGTTCTGGGATAGATGCCTGTGAGGAAGTCACGTCTGAGCCAAAAGCTAACCAGGAGAAATACTGGGAGGTGGGGAATTCCTTGCAGAAGAACAACATCCACAAAGAAACCAAAAGGAAAGGAGCTTGCTGTTTTGGTAGTTGGATGACTTCTGAAGGGTCAGCGGGACTGGGGAGTCCCGGGTAGGGGGAAGAGGAGGCTGGGGGGTAGGCAGGGGCCCAGTCATGCAAGGCCTGGCGGATCATGCCATGAATTTTGGATTTTATCCTGCATGTAATGAGAATCCACTGAAGGGCCTTGAGCAGGGGAATGCTTGTATTTTAAGGACACATGCAGGCCGGGCACGGTGGCTCACACCTGTAATCCTAGCACTCTGGGAGGCCGAGGCGGGTGGATCGCTCAAGGTCAGGAGTTCGAGACCAG